CCAGTCGATGGCGTGCCTTTTGAAATAGCAACGGACGCATCAGACTTAGCACTCGGAGGAGTACTATACCAGGTTATAGATAATAAACATAGGTATATACAATTCTTAAGCCGAGCAATGAATGCATCACAGTTGAATTACCCAAGTGTGAAGCAAGAGCTACTAGCCATAGTAGCAGCTTTAACACATTTCCACGATTACTTATACGGAACAGCATTTACGCTGATGTGTGATCCGAAATCTCTTCAATATATGAAAGAGATGAAACCCGACTCACAATTACTGAGTCGCTGGCAAGATACAATATCAAAGTTTAATTTTGATATAAAACATCTGCCAGGAATATATAACCATTTGCCGGATATGTTATCACGCTTTGTACCGGACTTTAATAAATCCATACGTGAGTTACTAGCCACTGACTGGAAGTGTAATCCCAGGTGGTTTGAACTGGCTCAAAAGATATTTGGGCCACATACAATTGACATGTTTGCTGTACATCATAATGCACAACTATCGAATTACAGGACTTTAAATCATCCTTTGGGAGACGCCTTTCAAATAGACCTCTCCAAACATAATGCGTGGGCTAATCCACTATGGCAGTTAATTACCCAGCTATTAAATTATGATCATATACACAAAGCTACCATCACGTTGTGCTGCCCACTACAGAGTAAAGATCCATGGCTCAATAAATTGATAAGCATGATACAATGCGAGCCAATATATTTAGATAGGGAAGTAGATACTTTCCTATATCATGGTACCCGAGCCGTCCAGAAGACGCCCTGGAGACATACTATAATATGTCGTATAGGTCCCATTGGAACAACCAAATGGACCCCTTCTGAGACCTTCCTTAACAAGGTCAAGAATCAGAGATTCCACTCTACCCAATTGAACGTTAAGCAGTTCAAAGGCAACACAGCGCTTAAAGTCTGTGCACAAGAAATACAATCTACTAATGACACTGTTAAGTAGCGTCAGTCTCTAGCTAGGACTGTTTAATAACATAAAGTCCAAGCTCGAGGTCTTTCAAACCCTATTTTGAAAGGCATTAATGAAAGACAATCCTGAAGCGTATACACATATAATGCGACTATTTAATAAGTCAGGTGTATCTAACGAACATGAGCGCACTTATGACACTCATGCGAAAGAAGGACAGGAGTATGGAAACACTACAGACTTAGGACCACGCAAGTGGATTCTCAACACCCTACCTTTATTCTGGAGGAATAGAATGATGAAAACATTCTTGCTTGGCTGACGCAAAACCATAAGCTGAGGCACCAGAACGTAGTAGAAGCACTTAAAGATGCCAAGCGAAATGGGTTAGCGCACCCTAAGCTGGCAACTTTAGTGGATAAAGTATATCAGTTATGTACAGACTGTGATCCCAATCAGATCAAACGCTATGGGTTCGCACCACCTAAGAGTGTGACCGAAGATGTTCCATGACGCAGGGTCATCATCGATCTGGTTGACCTGCCTACGTCCGAGTACACAGGCGACCGTTACGTATGCCACTTCTTTGATGTGACGTCACGGTTTAGCTTGCTCTATCCATTAAAGGATGAGAATACGCGGACCGTGGCAGAATTACGTTGCCAAGTCTTTGCTGACCACGGGTGGCCGGGTATTATGTGCTCTGATAACGGTAGTGAGTTCTGCGATGACGTAATGGAATCGCTAGTACTTGTATCGGGAATATGCCATAAGAGAGGTGTGCCATATAAACCGCAAACGCAAGGCGCGAATGAAACGCGCCATAGAAGACTTAAGTTCTTCTTACGCACTGCATTAACGGATGATGCAGATGATTGGCCGTACCACCTTAAGTGGGTACAAACACAGATGAACGAGTGTAGCCTTTAACGAGGACGAACCTGATCACCATGAGTTACCATGGTTAAAGAAGGTACAACGCATACACAACGTTGTATATCCTTGCTTGCGTGAGACACGTAATGTGGCCTTATTAAAAAGGCAAAATAGATGGAATGCTACCAAAAAGATAGCAGAGTATCAGGTTGGAGTCAGAGTTAACATCCGTCAACGTAATTCCGATGCTACTGTACTAACATCGAAATGGATAGGACCATACATAATCTCTGTAGCCGACACTAAAAGTGGAACTTATGAGGTTAATAACCCCGACGGTTCTAGTACTTTAAATATAGGCACTAGTCGAATTCCGAACTGAGATTATTCTCGCAAGAAGACATGATTCTACTGCACCTCTTGACCGCTCCGAATTCAAAGATATTATATGGAGAACGGATAAAGGAGGATATACATATTATCGTTCACGCTTTATAGACGGTACAATCGCTGAGTTAACTTCAGACGCTTTTGACAATCAGGATTATTTAAAGGCCTTTAACAGAAAATAGCGGAAACGCTTACATAAGTCACAGGCTGAAAAAGATAGTATGTTCCTATCGTCTGCAGGCACGGAAGTTAAAACTTACCCGCCAATAGCACTTATCCCGAGCTTTACTGCTCATCCTTCGTATGTTCCAAAAACATTGAAGCGTAAGAAACATCCAGTCGACCACCACGGACCTACTGGACCTAAACCTAAATCTCACAGGGTAATCGAGAACGCTTAACTTCTCCGCCTGAGAAACATCAACTATAAGTTATGCTACTTAATGTTTTCGACCCGTTTTCCCTTCTCGCTTTTTGACCCATAATCAGCTTGAGTGAGCAACTAACCTCTCCTGGGTCTCAAAGCTGGGTGGGGGCTGTGTAAAAGCCGGGCCTCCACATTAAAATCTTGTAATATAAACGTACTCTTAATAGTTCGTAAACTTAAGTTTTCCTTAAATTTGTTTTAACGGTTTTTATTAATTAAAAATATTTTCCATTTTACGTATCAGATATTTGGACAAGGCCATTAAAAGGCCCAAGTAAAATGCCAAATATAAGATTTGGTCTAGTTCTTTTCATAGAAATATATTTACCTTCCAAATATATTTATATCTGAATACTTCGGTAGCGAGATGGCTCAACTGAGCATAGGTTTCTAAGGACTATTAGCGTTGCTTAGTTTATCCTCCGTTCAGCCAACCAGATGTGCCAGTCTGATGAAGGCTAAATCGGTAGTTCTTGATAAGTGGCAAGTTATTGGTTAATGCAATAACTATGGACATAAAGAGTTATAAAAAAAATCTTCTCATGATAGGATTTTATCAGTTTCTCGGATTCGCCCCAACGAAATATACCATAATTTCTAATAGAGCGACAACGAAAAACTAAATAAAATCCCTTCGGCGAAAACAGTACTGAGAGGATTATATGTAGGCAATGTCTCAGCCTCACAATCCCTCAGAGTATTGCTGTTTTCACGAGGCATACCTAACTTTACTAAAAGACTCGTTTCATTTATTTACTTTTAAATTTTGATATACTTAGACTTAACCTAAGCGTTTATTTACTCTAACGTGTTAGTATCGCCTTATTAGACCGAAAATTACAGTGTAAAGTATTAATCATCGGTTCTGTCATCGCCGCATAGTTCGCAAGTTGACCTTATAGGTTGTAACAAGCTACAGTTGTTTAACCTCTAATTCATAAAGTGTTTGATAGTTTTAAGTCCCACCCGACTTGCACCTGTGGATTGATTGAATTGGTCTAGTTTCGTGTTGTCATTGACTATCATATCAACAACATTAATTACTATACCACTCATAGCAACAATAAATGTCGATGCCAAAGTCAGCCCTTTGCGATCCAATTCACTTATTAATGAGCTTTTGTTATCCACTAGGAGTATGTCATCTTCATCTAAGCCTTTTCCTAATGTGACAAAATCGGTGCATGCAATACAATTTATTTTGGAATTCTTGAGTAGCTTATGAACAACATACCCGGTAATGTGGATCTTCCATAAAATCGTACGCCAGTCTCGGACCAAAATGCTGAAGTGATACCCATAATGTGTACAACCGATCTATTTGTTTCATCTCCAGCAAGTCAGTTTTGTCCTATAGGCCTACGAAGAGCTGCTTAAAACTTTCCCGATTGTGGCTGCCATCTTCATTTTGACATATACTACATATAGCGCGTATGAGCAGTGTACGAGCACAGTATATATATGAACTGGTGTCTATATGCCTATTTCCTCCCACAATGGCTCGGGCAATGCTAAAACTTAACTCTATAGAATCAATATTCATACGTCCAGGCAGGACATACACGAACCCCAATTCATCAAGCAAGTATCTAATACACTGCGCAAGTGCTCTTAGTGTGTGAGATCATGTGAAGAACGTTTCGGGTGATAATCCATCTTGTAGTGGTTTACACCCTCTCCTTTCTGTTTATGTATTATCTGGCTGTTTCTCATCCGCATGTATGTGTTCATCATCTTCACAATCGTCATCTTCTTCATCGAAAGAGTTTTGGGTAAAGCCTTCCTCCTCCGTGTTGCCGTTTAAGTCCAATCCCAAAAACTGATGCACAATATTGTCCATCTCGTTGATATCATCTGCGTTCGCTACTGACGTATCTTCATCTGTCGTATATCCATCATCGTTCTGCTGATCTTCGGAGAGGCTCGTATACCAGGCATCTTGCAGCCAATCTGATATCTCCTCAGCTTCAAGTAATCGCAAATCAGCCGATGACGTAAAAGGTAGTGCACGATCAAGGTGCTTGTTCTTTCCTTTGGATAAGCTGACTGTCAGAAATGGTTGTATCGCAAATGTGTTGATCATTTCAAGAAATAAATATGTTCCTTTTGCTGCCTCTCCAAATTCGCTTTTAAGAGCAGCTGTCAATTCTGGAGTGAATAAGAGGAGAGCGGGTGCGACCTGCTGTCTCTCCAAGTTCGACGGCCAAATGGTAACACGATTAATTCGTACTGGGGCAAATAACTTATTCTTATATAAATTATATAATTTTCGAATCCACTGAATATCACATATACCTGCTGGTAATGTATACCCTGTTGATAAATTCAATTCTGGATATCGAAAGATGTGCCCCTTTCTTATGAGATTATTTCGTATACATTTGACTATATGAACTAGACAAAATTGTGAAAATATTGTCTGACCATTAACAACTACACTAGTTGGCAACCGCTGTTGAGGCAGTGCCGAACGACAATCTAGCGGCTCCCATGTTGAACTTTGTAAAACAAGCATCCTCAAGGCCTTGCGATTAACCGCACAACCATCGAATATGACCGGCGCAACAACTACCCCAGCCTCTTGAGCTTTTTCTATTGCTGTTTTGGTATAATCGTACAGTTCTTTCCCAGTCTGCCGAGTGACATGATTAGACATTGGGTTCAGCGAGAGCTTACGGCCACTAAGGGGTGTCAAGAGGAAAACCTGCATGCTAGTAGCGAGTGCGTCTGGATTGTTATGGGCCGGGCCGTAAAATCCAGACTGGTTAGAACAGTTATAAATTGGGCGTATATTGATTTCATCAATATGTAATGCAAACACCGAATTTCTAAGTCTCGCTTTTCTATCAGGCTCTTGAGTGATGTGTGGCTTCTTATATGAAATTTGGTTGGTAGGTTGCACGGAGATGCCCTGTTTGTCATATGATGAAGACATGTTGTCGTTTACACGTGCATGTATGATCGATAGTAATACTGCCGCAAGTGCAGAACCTGGTCCAGCAAATACACAATCTGCTGGAAGAGCATTGCTGTTTACGAGCGTGAAAAATGTTCTTTATCTGATGGAAATACGAATGAAGAATTGTTTTTTATCCGTAAATAGTGCCCGGGTACTCTGGGATTAGGTGATGTGCATACGCAAGTACAAATGAATTAACAGGAAACCGTCGCTTATGGCGACTAGTTTCAAGCATTTATACTTGCTGAGCTGCGTGGTAGTAAAATGCAGGTTTATGCTTGCCTGTCGCACTATCTGAAAAGAAACTCGCCCTTTTTCGCAATATTGAGCATTTCATAAGTTTGTACTGGATCACTGCATGATGTGGTCAGATATACGATTTAGGGTTATTAGGGTTTTTGTGATCAGATTATGATTTAGGGTTATTAGGGTCTATTTGTGGATCGGTCATAAACCCAGTTTAGAGTTCTGATACGATTACGCACAATTGACCAGATATTAATCGAGTAATGTTCAATAAACAGCCAACGACTCACCTCCGATAAGGGGAGTACGTTGAGATATAGTTATTGACGCGTATTTACCACATTTTTATCTAGCTTGAATATTGCTTGAAAATTCTCCTATTAAGTGGATTCGAACAAAAGAGATGCAAGAGGGTACTGGATGCATTGGCCGCTAGAGATGAAGAAAGGTGGCCCAATTGGTGCGCACGCCAAGGTGATATGACCTTGTTGATTACACATGATTTGATACACAGAGGTGTAGTGTATACTCGTCGTGGTGATCATAGTATGTTGTGCACTGGACCCAAAACACCGTTTTAGAAATTGTGAATAGCATAGCCTGGCTTGAACTTACATTGCTCGTGATAAAATATACATATATAATAGTATAAACACAAAAATATATGCCGATCTATATTTATGTAATATATATAATTACATGTATATGT